TCTATCTATCTATCTATCTATCTATCTATCTATCTATCTATCTATCTCTAGTTGCTGGTGTGTGTGTGTGTGTGTGTGTGTGTTTTTTAGTTTTTTAGTACTCAGGATGTGGTGAACAGACCTCATTGCTTTTCAAAGACAAAGAAAGATAGAAAAAAACTAACTTCCGTTCTCTTCTCTCTCAAAACAGGTCGACCTCGTTTCTAATAACCCATCTATTCCTGTCCTAAAATCTGGAGTTTCCACTCGTTTTCAAAAACAGTTTTCCTCCAAGCGGCCGGAATTTTTTTTCAAAGCGTTTCAGAACAAAAGTTTTAAAGTTTAGGCAGAAAAAGCGCCCGTAACTCAAGGGATGGACCAGCCTGAGGGGCTACCGGGAACACAAAAGCACAGCAGAAAACCCCCAAAACCCACATCCTGACAAAGCTGTTTAAGATCCTGTTTTCTGTTAAAGAAACGCCAGCAAACACACAGAAACTCTCACACAAGAGGAACCATTTAGGCACATTCGAGGAAGAAAATAGCTAAATTCAATTTTATTCTATTCGATTTTATTTCTATAGCGTGACAGTTCTCTCCCAGCTTTCCAAACAGAGAGGTTCAGACTCTGAGTTATTTACAGGAGAACAACAGTTCGCACCCAGAGCAGCACTGGGAGACCCAGGGAGGGAAAAACTGCCTTTAGGAGGTAGCGAGCTAGCGAACAAATTGTTCAATGTAGACTGCAACAACGTTTCTGAATGGTGAGTTATGAACTTTATTTGACTTTTTTCTTGAAAATGTGTATGTTTGTACGTCGGGTTAATACGGTCGCTGACTAAATATGGTGTTTGTGTAATTTACTGCTTATAAAAATCTAGATTTCTGTTGAGTAAACATAAGTAGCATGTTATTCCCGTTACAAGAGTAACATTTTAGAAGTCCGCACAGATAGGCGGAGTAAGCTGAGGGGGGGGGCAACATGCAGGTGAAAGGCTGGAATATTATAATGAGCTAGAGCTAATGACGTCAGAAACTACCCACTCCTGAAACCTCCGGATTTATCTCCTGGATTCAGACTGAGGCGGCCCACAAAAACATGACTGAGTCATTTTTGTTCACACTTTTCCTGCTGATAGGCCCTCCACAGTCCCAAATGTACACAATCAAATGATTAAAAACTTGGTTTTGCATAATATGTCCCCTTTAACTAGAACCAGAGACTCACAGGTCAGACTCCCCTCCACGGCCAGCCAGCTCTCTGGGGACTGTCCCGCTGTGGGGTGCTCGCACTTGTAGAAGCCCTCGTTTTCTTTTGAGATGCTGGTAAAGGTCAGCTCTCCGTTGGGCTGCTGGCCGATGAACGTGCCGTTTCTGTAGAACTTGGCGCTGAAGTTCGATGAGGACTTCGGGTCGTGTCTTTCCTTGTGGGAGCAGGTGAGCGTCACTTTTCCTCCGGCCGTCACCGGGAGCGCAGGAATCTCCAGGATCACAACCCCGGCTGACGTTAAACGCACAAAAACACACGATGAGGTGATTTAAAGGAGGAAAAAAGGTCAGTTCCACTATCCACCACTTCCTGTTCTTTCTCACGTAGGAGCCCATACTTTTTAACGTCGACCTTTAACCCCTTAAAACTCTATTTTTTAAAACTTAATATGTAAAAAAGTTTGTGTCTTTCAGGAAGTTGGACTCATTGTGGACTAACCATTTGAGGAGGCCCAGATTAGTCCTGAAAAACGTAGCATCCTGGTTTAAAAATGGATCACACATGTTTAATCAAGTCACATGACTTCATACAGCCAATCAGGGAAGGGTCAAACTACCTCACACCAGGTGACGTCACTGGCTCTGACCAATCAGGACTCAGACAGAAGTAGCCAGACCTTCTTGAACATTGCGTTTTTTTTTTTTTCAAACTCGATATGTCAAACAGAAGGGGCTCCAGTGGGGAGCCTTGGGGGACTCCAGTCCTGACATGGTAACATGTCGATGTTTCCTAAAACCCAAACCAGGAATCCTTCCATCTAACGGGGAAACTGTGTTCTGCATCCTAACAAATCTGCTCTCTAGCGCCCCCGTTTCCAAACGGGTATTGCAGCTAAGCTAGCCGTCAGGCATCAAGAAGTAATGACAGCATGACTTCCACATCTGGAGTTTTCTCTGCTGATGAGGTTTGTGATTTAAAAGAAACTACAAACTGCTCTGAATCTTTAGTGTGAGCATGTAATTCCTCCTCCAACAAGATGGAGAATCATGTAGCCATGTTGGCTTGTTTTTTGTTCGTAGCTTGCCCTTACTAGCCTATGTCTTAGCTAGCGTTAGCTAAAAACTTGACACACAACGACCACCGGCTCCGTGGTCAGCATGAAGCTGGACTCTCTGGTGACAGTGGCAGAGGCCAGGACACTGAATAAACTGATGGACATCATGGCCGACAGCAGCCACCCTCTGCACACCGTCATCAGCAGCCAGAGGAGCCTGTTCAGGGACAGACTGCTGCTTCCCAAGTGCCGATAGACCAATAGACTTAAGAACTCTTTTGTCCCCCACGCCATCAAACTGTACAACGCCTCACTGGGGGCGAGGAGGTGACTCAGGACAGGGGGAAGAGATATCACATACACTGTACTTCATCTGTATTTTTTGTATTTTTATTTATTTATTTGTATTTTTTTGCTTAATTTAATTCTAACTTGATACTTTTTGCCCTTTAAGCTGCTGGTAACCTTAATTTCCTGAGGGAGTCTTCCCAAAGGATCAATAAAGTACAAGTCTAAGTCTAAGTCTAAGTCCAAACGAACGTTACAGACTGAGAAGCTGTGCTCACTGGTCACGGTGATGTCGAGGCCATTGCTGCACTCGCCGCTCTGGGACTGGCACCAGTAGCGGTCACTGTCCGACATGTGGGCGCTGCGGTTGATGCAGGACGAGACGTTCCTCCTGCCCTTGGGGTCACATGGAAAGACGGGCTGCGAGGGGGTTCTCATCAACATCCAGCCGGCCCCGCCACAGGTCAGGTTGAAGGACTCGTAGCGGAAGAACTGAGGCCTGTTCGGCTCGATGGTCAGCAGAACGGCGCCTAAACCAGAAGCCAGAGCCCGTTAGCTGCTGTCAGGGAGGCGGGTCTTGATGGAGGACTCAGTCGCGGAGATTCAGAAAACAGGGTTTATTGCAACAGAAACTCACTCATGGAGTGGATGGTGACAAAGTTCAAAACAAGGCTGTGAGAAAACTA